CTTATGCTGGAAAATATTTTTAAAACAAGCTCATGGAGTTTTTTTCCCCCCGACAGACAGTCTGAAGGGCTCGTGCTGGGTAACCCTTCAGGATGGCCGCTGTGAAGTGAACATTAATGGAGCTACACTGAGGTCTCAGTGCTGTGCGATGCTGGGAGCGGCCTGGGGAAGCCCATGTGAACCATGTCAAAGCGGTATAAAAACTGCACTCTCAAGCGCTCACATCTGGTCATTTTTAGCCAGCTGCAAACTTCAGGCGCTCTGCTGAAAATGCCCAGCTATGAGCGCTTGAGAGCACAGCGTTTTTGTTTTATTTTCATTATTGTTAATGAAATGTTTCATTATTGTTATATTTTGGTGGACATGTAGCATAAATCTTTAGGAAGCTGCAGGGGAGCATAGGCCCTATTTAAAGACCCCAGTGTAGTTGGGGGAGAGCCAAGGCATTTTTTGTCATTTTCTTTTAGGAGGGATGGTCCTGCAGGCAAACTTCCTCTACTCATTAGCATTGTTGAACCAGGGCTATAGTAGAGCACCCATCCAAAGGGGAGCAAACATCCCTACTTCAAAACCCAGCAGTTGTTGGGGAGGAAGGGAAATGAAGTAGAGGGAATCTATACTGCCCTACACAATTCTGTTCACCTTGTGTGAACCCTAAGGAGGTAACCATCAGCCCTCACATCCCCCCAGAGAGGGGTATATCTCCTGAAAGCTGCAGACTGAGACCCCAGCTCTGTACAAGACTTAAAGAGGACCAAAGAGGTCAGATTGTGAGATCAAAGCAATGAGGAGAAAGATTGTTCACTTTCTCCTTGGTAAAGACGCCCACTGTGGCAACTGTGGCAACCAAAGAACGACAGGTACACTGACACTGCGCTGCCGCTGGCAGCATTGCTGAGTGGAAATTTTATGGTTTGTAGAGCCACACAGGCCTGTCTTGCTTCGAATATGCCTTGCCGAATAGGGTTAGGGTTAGGGTGAATAACTGGTTAGAGTGAATAACCAGCGCTCTCTTCCATCCTCAATACCACGACTGAGGTGAGAACCTTGAGCAAAGCACCGAACCCCCAACTGCTCCCCGGGCGCCGCAGCAAAAAATGGCTGCCCACGGGTGTGTGTTCACAGTGTGTGTGTGTGTGTGTGTGTGTTCGTGTTCACTAATCACTGCTGTGTGTGTGCACTTGGATGGATGAAATGCAGAGCACAAATTCCAAGCATGGAACACCATACTTGGCCACACGTCACGTCACGTCCCTTTCCCTTTTCTTTTAAAGCGGGTGGAAATTTTGTGGTTTGTAAAGCCACACAGGCCTGTTTTGCTTCGAATATGCCCTGCCATGTGCCACAAGGTGGAAAGGTTCAACAGACACAAAGCTCAAACCGTGAGGTGCAAACACCTGACTTTCATCCCACAAGAAAAAAGTCAAGCCAGAGGGGATCTCCCTCACCATTACTAATCACAGTGAGCACATTCAGCTTCCTCAAGAGCCAACCGTTGGCAAGGAGGGAGCCTTCAAAGAGGATGCAGTGCCAGGGGAGAGATGGCTTGCAAGCAGCTCTTCAACTGGGGTATCCTCCGCTTACACAGTCTCTCCTCATGCGAATAATTCGACTACATTGGAGAGAATATATGAGCCGAATATAAATTCCTCCATTATCTTGCCTTAGCTCTTTGTGCATCTAAATCCTCAGAATTATAGACACATTTAATCACATTTAGTCACATTAATCGGTCAGATTAGAAGCAGTCACAGAGAGCTTCCCGAATTGACATAAAAGCAACATAGTGGGGCAAACCCAAAAGGGAAAAACTCCCATTAGACTCCTCCCTATGCTCTGCCTAAAATCCCTGCGATCGATCCTGCCCTGCTGCCTCTTGTTAGTTTTGCAGTTCAGTTTCCTGTCTTTGTTAATATATTACCATAGTTTTTTATTTGCCCTCATGTGTCACATCTGTGTCTAGTTCATTACCTCGTTTAGTTCCTAGTGATTCTCTATGTATATATAGCCCTCATTCTTAGTTGTTCTTGGTCAGATCTCATAATTTCAGTGGTTGCTCAGTTTATCGTGTTTTGTTTCCTAGAAGTGACGTAGTGTGTGCCTTATTTTGATTAAAGGAAACTGTATGCAGAAAGAGCCAGTTCTTTTATTTTCACCTTTATTCAGCCCCTGCATGAAACTTTTATTATATTTGAATTGCAGCCTTATTAGTTTATTATACTGTATGCTAAAACATATTTTGATATTTATTTTAAAAATTTGATATCCAATTTATTTGATATTGTGTTTTGGTTATAGACTCAAATAATATTTCAGCGATTATTTATGTACACAGATCCTGTATGTCAACGAGGATTCGCTCGGCCAAGAGGGGCTTCGTGTGAAGGTGACATTTTGTGTCATATTAAAGTGAGAGACACATAAACTGTAGATTATCTGATTTTGACTTAATTTCACCTAGTTAATTAAAATACACTTTCTCCCTCTCTCCCTCTCTCTCTTGCTCTCTCTTTGTGTAGATGTGAATGAGTGTGAGGTGTTCCCCGGTGTGTGTCATAATGGACACTGTGTGAACACTAGAGGTTCTTTTAAATGTCAGTGTCCAGAGAGTCTCACACTGGATGTCACTGGACGTGTCTGTGTGGGTGAGTCTCACTGGAGTATCAGCTGTCTTCAGATCTGTCATAGTGCATTCACCCTCACCATAGCCACTATTACTAAATCAGACTTTATTATTGTTAGTAGCACATAATCAGTGCTGGATAGATTACTTACAATGTATAGTATGTTATTTATTACAAATTACCGGTACATGACAAAAACGGTGTATTGTTTTTTTAGGTTACATATTATAGATAATGTATTGTGAGTACTTTTTGAATGCTTTTAGATTACTTTTGACCTTACTTGTTTATCACATACCAATTGATATTTTTTTTTATTAGTTTGTACCATACTGATTTAGAAATCCAAAAAAAGAGAAGAAAATACAGTATGTTGTGCATTAAACATTATACTGTGTAAAGCCTTCCAAAGACATATAATACAAGATTAAATGACTCACTGAGTGATAATTCAAATAATTAAAATGTGTTTGAAATGTGTTAAATATGCAATGTTGAGAAAACAAGCATAAAAATGTATAATTTATGTATGTAAGCTCTGATAAGGGTTCTCCGATAAGGAAAGATAACGATGCATTCTGGCGTAGATGCTACGGCAGGGGTCGGCAACCCGTGGCTCTGGAGCTGCATGCAGCTCTTCAGGCCCCCTGCTGTGGCTCACTGCAGCCTTGACAAAATTATATTTATTTTATCTTTGCTACACATTGTTGGCATTTGAGGTAACAGATGTGACACTGAAAATAAAGTTTTAATATTTTATCAATCAAACATATACGACACTTCCTGTCTAATTCCCGTGCGAATAGCTGATATTGTGGTCCAGACCCCTGCTCTCGTAAGCTAACTATGGATACGTTTAAAAAAAGACAAATCTCGGCTGAAAACAGCGAGTTTAATTCTGTGTGGACAGATTTATTCACGTTCACTGCCAACGATGCTGGCCTGCCGGCATGTTTGATATGTGGTGAGAAATTGGCTAACAACAACAAAAAAAACAAAACAAAAAACACAGCATTTGCTGAGACATACCCACCTGAAGATGAACAGAGAGCCATTTCAGAACTGCTGCAGAAAGCTGAGCAGAGCAAACATAACTTCACCCAGTGGATAAAGTCTTCAAACTCAACAATAGTTGCTAGTTTTTTGGCAACTCAGGAGATAATAAAGCGCGGAAAGCCGTTCAAAGACGGAGAATATATGAAAGAATCATTCATTAAAATATCAGAGCATCTATTCTCTGACTTCAAAAATAAATGTGAAATTGTTCAGAAAATTAGAGATGTGCCTCTCTCTGCGAAAACCGTCAAGGACAGGGCCATTAAAATAGCAGCAAACATCACCAACCAGCAAATTAAGGACATCAATTCAGCTCCAGCATACTGTGATGAGTCAGGTGATGTTAGCGACATCGAGCAGACGGTGCTGTTATGTAGGTATATGAATTCCGATGGGCCGCAGGAAGTCATCGAGTTGATACCACTAAAAGGCCAAACGCGAGGGGAGGACATCTGTGAGGCTGTGCTGAATTGTTTGAAAGTCAAAGAAACAAACACCACCCACCTGGTGTCCGTGGCGACTGATGGTGCACCAAGCATGAGAGGAGCACAAAAGGGGTTTGTGACTTTACTTCAGAAATCACTGGGTTGAAAGCTGCGTACATTTCACTGCATTTTGTACAAAGAAGCACTGTGTGCTCAAACATTTCCCCCCGAATGTATGGAAGTGTTGGATACCTTGTTATCCAGATAGTGAACCAAATAATGGCAAAAGGGTTAAATCCCCAACAGTTCCGTTCACTGTTAGATGAAGTTGACAGCACATATTCAGATCTTTTGCTGCATAACAAAGTCCGGTGGTTGTTCAGAGGAGAGGTGCTGAAAAGGTTTGTTGCTTGTCTGGAACATGTGAAAACCTTCCTAGAAAGCAAAGGCCTCACCTATCCCGACCTGGAAGATGACGATTGATAAGAAAAGTTGCACTTCATGGTGGATATGACAGCACACGTCTCCAGGGACAGCCGTGCAGATGCTGGAGGATGTTTTGGCATTTGAGCGCAAGATGGTCGCCAGAGATATACAGAGAGTCACGCTCTCTCATTTCCCCTCCCTGAAAAAGATCAAAGAAGAACATAATCACATAAATTTGGAGTATTTACACCGCGCAATCAGCAAAATGCACAAGATAAAAGCACATTATTCTTCCCTGTCACTCCCCTGGACACTACATATGTCCGCATTCACAGGAGTAAGCAACCCGATCTTGAAATTGAACTGACTGACATGGCTGATAAAGACTACCCATAACTATGATGTCTCTGGTCCATGATCTATTTTCCCGTGCCTCTTCTGGATTCTGCTTTTCTTTTTCTTTTTTATTCTTGTAGAGTACTGTGGAAATAATGAGGCATCAACCGCGGGTTCTTTATTGTGAAATGAACAGGAACCGAGATTTAATGTTTGTTATAAACGAGTCTGCACTACATGTATGTCAATAACAACTGAACTTTATTCGGCTCTGCTCTCCAATGGATTCTTAACTGTTAGCGCCCTCACCTGGTAGGCAACACATATTACATCTCCCCTTTTTTCACTAAAATTAAATAGTAACAGAAAATAACAGTATTTAATACATAACTGGGGACATAGTTACTAACAATTTAGGATGACCAAACTTAACTGTAAACAGTAGCTACCAGTACTATGCATCATCAAAAGGTCTCAATTCATAAGTCTAATCTCATAGGTGGTTTACGAACTCTTTTGAGATATCTCGCTTCTGTGATGCTGGGACTGGACATTGACACAGGGATCTGTAACTGCCCTGTACTGTGCATCCAGTTCATTACTTCCCTCTTCTCCTGCTTGTGGCAATTGGGTAACGCACTCTTGTTCTGAATCATGGGTGATGCTGTTTTGTTGTTGTTCTCTTGTCTGTATGAGATGTCTTCTATTCCGTCTGATTTGTTGTCCATTACTTTCCACGATGTAAGAGCGTGGTGCTTCACATACTTCAACCACCTTTGCTGGCTTCCACTGTGCGTTCTCCTGTACGCTCACGTAATCACCAAGCTTAAGATCTGGCAGGGGTCTGGCACCTCTATTATAGTACAGTTTTGTTTTGAGCTGGTTGCTTTTGAGTTGTCCGTGTATGCCAGTCAAACATTGCAGTGTAAGCAGTGCTTGTGCAGTGGGTAGCTGTGTCTGAGTCCTACACCCCATTAACACTTGCGCCGGAGATGGGAGGTTTTCCAGGGGTGTGTTTCGGTAGTCTAGGATCATGATGTATGGGTCTTGTCTGTCTGCCTTTGCTTTTTTGAATAGTGACTTAACCACCTGGACAGCCTTTTCTGCTTTGCCGTTACTTTGTGGGTACCTTGGTGATGATGTAACGTGTCTGAATCCATATGACCGACTGAAAAGAGTAAAATCAGCTGATGCATAAGCTGGGCCATTATCCGTTATCATCACTTCAGGTATACCGTATCTAGCGAATTGCTGCTTGCAGATGTTAATGATGGTTGTGCTTTTGAAGTTTTTCACCTTTTCCACTTCAATGAAGTTGGAATAGTAGTCCACAAGTACAATGTACTGTTCCGAATCTAATTCAAAAAGATCAGAGCCCACCTTTTGCCACGGCCTCTGTGGGATGTCATGCCCTATCATGGGCTCTTTGCAGTTCCTTCTCCTGAATGCATTGCATACTGGGCACTTGGAAATCAGGTCAGTGATTTGCATCGACATGCCAGGCCAGAACATTATGTCTCTTGCGAGTCGTTTGGTTTTTTCAATGCCTTGGTGACTGGTGTGGAGTTTTTGTAACATGAATCTTTGTTTGCTTTGTGGAATGAGATGCGGTTACCTTTTAGGAGTATGTCATCTTCGACAGTCAGTTCATCACGATAATCTCAGTAAGGTTTTGCCTGGTCAGGTAAATCACGTTTGTCTTCAGGCCAGCCATTTAGGACAAAACTTTTAACGATGCGCAAAATGGAGTCATTTCTCGTTTCTGTTTTTATTTCCAACAGACGTGATGGTGCGATGGGCAGTGAAGCAATGGTGCATACTTGTATATCATCATCGGCTGTGTCAGCATCTGTGTGGGACTGATTATTTCTGCTTAAAGCGTCAGCTATGTAGAGCTCTGTTCTTTTTTTATATTTCACTGTCATGTCGAATTTCTGAAGTTTCAGGAGCATTTTTTGGAGTCTGAGAGGAGTGTCAGCTAGGGTTTTTTTCATGATAATTTCTAAAGGCTTATGGTCACATTCTACTGTGAAGCATCTGCCAAATATGTACTGATAGAACTTTTCACACCCAAATACAATAGCGGCCAATTCTTTTTCAATTTGTGCCCAACACTTCTGTGTTTCAGTGAATGCTTTGGAAGCAAATGCTATAGGGCAGTTGTTTTGTAGTAGCACAGCACCTACCCCACCGCTGGATGCATCTACACTGAGCGTCACTGGCATTGCTGAATCATAATATTTGAGAGTAACTGTTTCTGAGACCATCCTTTGTAATTGCTCAAAACTCTTGTCATGGGCTTCTTCCCAACACCATTCAGCTGTCTTTTCCAACAGGAGTCTTAGAGGGGCTGTGACGTCAGACAGTTGTGGGATTTTCCTAAGTATGTGACCATGTTAAGGTACTGTTGTAGCTCTGTTTTGTTCTGTGGTCTGTGCATGTTCCTAATGGCGGCCACTTTTTCCGGGTCTGGTTTAAGTCCCTTCCTAGTCAGCAAATGACCCATGTAGCTCACTTCTTTAGCTCTGAATGTACATTTGTCTGGATTTAGTTTTATGTTCTTTTCTCTGATGCGCTGCATTACTTTTTCAATTCTCTCGTTATGTTGCTTCTCATTTTCCCCCCAGATCAGTATGTCATCCACAATCACTTCAGCCCCTTCCAAGTCTTCAAATGTTTGTGACATAATCCTTTGAAACATTTATCCAGCACAGCTGATTCCAAATGGTAGTCTTTTGTATGCAAATCTTCCAAAAGGACTGTTGAAGGTGCATAACTTGGAACTCTCTTTGTCCAATTTTATTTGCCAGTAACCAGACTGTGCATCGAGTGTGGCGAATATTTTAGCACCAGTCATTCTTGTCACCACCTCCTCGATTGTTGTCATCGGATAATGCTCTCTTTCAATTGCAGCATTCAAATCTTTTGGGTCCATGCATATCCTGACTTTTTTCTTTTCTGGTTTCCATATAGTGACCATACTGTTGACCCAAGCTCTGGGCTCCACCACCCTTTCAATGACACCTAATTGTTCCATCCACTCCAGCTCATCCATGATTTTGTTCCTGAGTGCTACTGGAACTCTTCTAGGTGCATGTATGGCAGGCTGAGCATCTGATTTGATCTTGATGTGTTGTTCTCCTTCAATACAGCCTAGTCCTGTGAAAACATCTGCATATCGGTCTTTAATGTCATTATGCTGTGATGTAATTGTCGCTACACGTTTGATGAGTCCCATCTGTGTGCATGTTTTTAGTCCCAGCAGGGGCTGTACATCATCTTCCATAATCTGGCATTCAATGTCATAATATTTGCCTTTGTATTCACCCAATAATAAGCATTTGCCTTTGGGTTTCAAGCACTGCCCACCATATGTCACCAATCTTGCTTTTGATTTCTCCATCTTTGAACAACCTTGAGTGTGTATTGATTGTGGAATTATGTTGCATTGAGCCCCCGTGTCTATCTTGAATTTTGTTTTATGTCCATTCAGTCTGATGGTTACCATCCAATCATCTCCATTTCTTGCATTCACAGCATCCACATATAATTTGGCTTTATGCAAGTCTAAATCATTTTCCCTCAGCAGCCTGGCCCTGAGTGTGTCATCGTGAATGCCTACAACAATTCTCTCCTTTATTAGACTGTCGCATAATTGTCCATACTCACATGACTTGGCTTTAGTTTTGAGGTCCGTGACGAACTGATCGATGCTTTCATCGGGCACTTGCACTCTTGAATTGAAAATATGCCGTTCAAATGTGACATTCTTTTGGGGCTCGAAATAGTCATTACATTTCTTTATTATGACTTTAACGTCGTTTTTGTCTTCAGTTTCTGCGAACTCAAACGTGTTATATATTTCTAGGGCTTCGTCGCCTATAACGTGTAGCAGTGTGCAGCTTTGTATTTTCTTATCTTTCTTGTCTACGCCCGATGCGGTCATGTACAGTTAAAATTTTTGTTTCCATTTTCTCCAGTTCTCTGCCATGTTGCCTTCAACTTGCAGTGGTTGTGGTGGCCTCAATCCTTCCATATTTGGCTTGAAATCGATACTTCTGACACCATGTTATAAACGAGTCTGCACTACATGTATGTCAATAACAACTGAACTTTATTCGGCTCTGCTCTCCAATGGAATCTTAACTGTTAGCGCCCTCACCTGGTAGGCAACACATATTACATCTCCCCTTTTTTCACTAAAATTAAATAGTAACAGAAAATAACAGTATTTAATACATAAATGGGGACATAGTTACTAACAATTTAGGATGACCAAACTTAACTGTAAACAGTAGCTACCAGTACTATGCATCATCAAAAGGTCTCAATTCATAAGTCTAATCTCATAGGTGGTTTACGAACTCTTTTGGGATATCTCGCTCCTGTAATGCTGGGCTCTGTCGTATTGGACTGGACATTGATACAGGGCTCTGTAACTGCCCTGTAATGTGCATCCAGTTCATTACTTCCCTCTTCTCCTGTTGGTGGCAATTAACTTTAAATTCTTAACTGTTAGCGCCCTCACCTGGTAGGCAACACATATTACAATGTTGACACAAAACTTGACAAAGTAATCATTCATTTCAATTCAAGGAAAAGCCCAAAGAAGAGGTCACAGGTAAAAGCAAAAGTTTAACTAAAGCAGCACGCGCAACACCGCGATGCCACTCTACCATTGCCATGCAAACACTCTTGCCAGGGACAAAAAGGTATAAATTACGAACATTCAAATACAACATAAATCACACCTAGTGGTGCAACTAGGCATCTACCTTACATCTGCATCAATTTTATTAAAACAACAAAATGTGTTTTATTCATTTAGAGGTCAAATATATTTTGCGGCTCCAGGCAAATTTTATTTGGTGGGAGAAGGGCCAAAATGGCTCTTTTGGTCGCAAAGGTTGCAGACCCCTGTCCTATGGGAACACCACTGCACCAGTATTCTAAGGCCTTGGAAACAAATAAAGTGAGTTAACACAGCAATCATGTCTGCTTATCATTCATGTTATATAAAGCAAGAAGATATAACATATTGGCAATGAGGTTTGAAGAGTGATGAACTCCAAAGATGTTCTTCTGACTCAGTGGTGATTGAGAGAGTTTCCTCCCAGATGGAAAGTGTCGAGGCATGCCAGGCACGGCTGCAGCGGTCCTGGAAGACGGGAAGGTGAATGAGAGACGAGAGAGAGAGAGACAAGTGACTGAGAGGCGTGACACTGATGTGAGGCCTTTTAACTTCTGTCGAGGTCACACCTCTGGGGGATCAAAGAGCCAATGTTGTCTTGAACATTTGGAGAGAAAATGTACGACTCTTTGTCTTCGAGCATGGTATTTTGCATATGTAACTGGATTGGGTGCTTATGCAAATTTTCACCCAATGAATGGCTTAGTCAAATTTGATAGATTTTTGTGAACATCCTACAGTATGTCAAAAGAAGCATCATTTCCGAGTCTCGATCCAATCTCAATCAACCATTAAGCCCCTGGCAAGGTTTTAAGGTTCAGTTTTAAGGGTAAGCCTTTAAGGTTCACCTTGGTGGTACAAGTCATTTCTGTTATACAGTGTGTAACTGTAACATGCATAACAGAAATGACTTGTACCACCAAGGTACATGATTGTTGTGTGTGTTTGAAGTCCTTATGATTTGTCAGTTCATTTGTGTGAGCCCTTTTTTGGCTTAAATGTGCTGAAGCATGTTTTTTGGTCTGGCTCTTTGGAAATCATACTGATCTTGTGAGGTATAACCATTCCCAGTATACTGTAGTATAAACACTACTAACTTTATTTTGATATCAGCACTGCTGAAGCTCTTTTGCTGCAGTAAATATGTTAAACATGTTAATGTTAAAAAGGAATGAGGCTGAGCACTAAAGAAATTTGCTTTCATTGGCTGTTTTTCCCAGATGTTCGTTCAGAGGCCTGTTTTCTCACCTATGATGAAGATGTGTGTACGCAGCCGGTACCAGGACACTTCCGCACGGACATGTGTTGCTGTACGGTGGGTTTGGCCTGGGGCAAAGATTGTGAATTGTGCCCTGAGCCTGGCACAAGCCCGTTTGATGCTCTGTGCCCGAGAGGACCAGGCTTTGCCAACAAAGGGGACATGCTCACTGGCAGAGCTGTCTATAAATGTCAAATAAATACTGCTGCTCTGGAGTATTTTGATATCACTGTTATGTCTGCTCTTAGAAATTTCATACTGTATTTTTCATTAATGACATTTATCTAATCCTCTCTTTGTCAGATATCAATGAGTGTAAAGTCTTCCAAAGCATCTGTATTCATGGAAAATGTCGAAACACCATTGGAAGCTTCAGATGTCGTTGTGAGAGTGGCTTTGCACTGGATGCCAATGAGCAAAACTGTACAGGTGATTCTGATTGTCTGTGAAGATATAAATAGCCAATCCTTTCCATCAGTATAGAATGACTAGAGACATAATGACGACATTAACAAATGATATCGGTGCTATCGCAGACCACTGAGTTGCATTCTGGTATCAAATATTATCAACTCTTTTATTTGAATAAATCCATTGTTTCATTCTTTTCAGATTAAGGTTTGGGCTGCCCTTTGAGTATCTGTGCATACATTCAGTTGAAAATGATAAAGCATTTCATGTGTTTCTCTACATGAGTGTGTGAATTTTCACAGATATTGACGAGTGCGTGATCTCTCCTGATGTTTGTGGTCATGGCACGTGTGTGAACACTCTGGGCAGTTTCCAGTGTGACTGTTTCCCTGGCTATGAGAGGGGATTTATGTTGATGAAGAACTGCTTGGGTGAGTGACACTTCATTGACAGTATGCTCTCCGTTATTAAGTTGGCTTGAAAAAGCCAACTTACTGAAATCTGACATTTAAACTTCTTCTTCTTTTTCTTCTACTTCTTCTCTGAGAACAAATTTTAAAATGCATCTCCTCCTAGACTTTTAAAGCTACAATCACCAAACTCGGGTCAGACCTTCAGACTGGTCTGACTCGGGTTGCTATGTCTTTTCTTACTGATCCGGCTTACGGTTTTCATAAACCAGACTATCAAAACCACCTAAAATCCCATAGACTTTCATTGAGAGAGTGAAAACTTTTATACAATAAGACTAATGGTGTATTTAAGCTGTCTATTGCTATAGCAAAGCTTAACAACTCCCTACTGAAAAAACAGCGAAAACCAGCCTAAGCTGATTGTCTGCTTTGGCTGGTCTCCCAAGCTGGTTTTAAAGCGGTTTTAGACACTTTTTTTTAGCAGGTCAGGCTAGTCTTGGGTGGTTTTTAGCTGTTTTTTTACTGAATCAACTGGTTTATAGCTGGATTAGCATAGAAACATGATAACAACATGTTAGTAACTTGCTAATCATGCTAGCAAAATGCTAGCAAACTTGCTAATCATGCTATCAACATGTTGGAAACATGCTAACGACATGCAAGTAACTTTGTTAATCATGCTAGCAACATGCTAGTCACTTGCTAATCCTGCAAGCAACATGCTAGTCACTTACTAATCATACGAACAACCTGCTACCGACATGCTAGTCACTTGTTAATCATGCTAGCAACATGCTAGAAACATGTTAACGTCATGCTAGTAACTTGCTAGTCACTTGCTAATAATGCTAACAACATGTTAGAAATATGTTAATGACATGCTAGTAACTGGCTAATCATATTAACGATGGGCTAGTCACTTGCTAGTCATGCTAGCAACATGGTAGTCACTTGCTAGTCCTGTTAGCAAACATGCTAACAACATGATAGCGACATGCTAGTAACTTTGCTAATCATGTTATCAAAACGATAGAAACATGCAAATGACATGCTAGTAACTTGCTAATCATGCTAACAACATGCTAGTCACTTGCTAGCCATGCTTGCAACATGCTAGTCACTTGATAGTCATGCAGTAATGCTAGCAACATGCTAGTCACTTGCTAATCATGCTAGCAACATGCTAGTCACTTGTTAATCATGGTAACAACATTATAGCGACATGCTAGTCACTTGCTAATCATGTTAACAACATGCTAGTAACTTGCTAATCATGCTAGTCACATGCTAATCATGCTAGCAACATGCTAGGTATTTGATAATAAAGCCAGCAACATACTAGCGACATGCTAATCATGCTGGAAACACGTTAGTGACATGCTAGTAACTTGCTAATCATGCTAGCGACATGCTAATTTACTATTCCTTATCTACCTATTTATCTATCTGTTTATTTATCTATCTATTTTTCTGATAGATTGTATTGCCTTCAAAACTTTAAATCTACTTCAAATTAGTCAAAAATTAAAACCCTCAAACTTTTAGCTTTTAAAACTACTTCAAACTTTCTGGCTAGGCTTTTTCAAGCCAACTTAAAGTTTGTCTATCTAGTTATAGAGCCATGATTATGAGAGTAACCATCATTGTGGTGTGTATGTGTGTGCTTTTTTGATGCTGTAGATATTGACGAGTGTGAACGAAACCTCTCACTGTGTAATGGAGGCACCTGTGAAAATACTGATGGCAGCTATAGGTGTGTGTGTCCACCTGGTCATCAGCTGTCTGTGGACGGCAGTGCCTGTGTTGGTGAGAACTAAATTATATCATATCTCACTCTTGTTTGTTCAGTAGACACCGTCTGCAGAACTATTTAGAACTTCTCAGCTCAATTACATTATCATACATAGACCACTTGAAATAAACCATTTTAACACAAATATATTTTGTCTGATTATTCTCATGGATCTGATGGACGTTACTGCTTGTCTGCAGATGTGAACGAGTGTGAGTTGAGCAGCACATTGTGTCTTAATGGCAGATGTGTGAATGTGGTGGGGATGTACCAGTGCTCCTGTAACTCTGGTTATCGGATGACACCTGATAGGAAAGGCTGCACAGGTCAGAGTTTTGCATTAGATTAGCTTTAGATGAACTTTGAATGACTTTTAACTCTCCATTTTATCTGTTCATTTACTTCTTGCCCATCCACTCTCATGTGTGAATGAATAGATAGATTCATGAAAAAAAGAGTATATAATCACAAAGTGGGTATACATTTACACTACTCAAAAGTAAAAACTGTATCATTGAGAAATATTATTACAATCTAAAATGGCTGTTTTCTATGTGAATATATTTAAAACCTTTAATATATTTATTTATACATTTAATATATATTTTATTATATGTCTGTTTTGATGTCCTTTGCACTCTTCAGATATAGATGAGTGTACGATAGAGAATGGAGGATGTGAGGTGTACTGTAGTAATTCAGAGGGGAGTTACTAGTCACATGCTAATCATGCTAGCAACATGCTAGGTATTTGATAATAAAGCCAGCAACATACTAGCGACATGCTAATCATGCTGGAAACACGTTAGTGACATGCTAGTAACTTGCTAATCATGCTAGCGACATGCTAATTTACTATTCCTTATCTACCTATTTATCTATCTGTTTATTTATCTATCTATTTTTCTGATAGATTGTATTGCCTTCAAAACTTTAAATCTACTTCAAATTAGTCAAAAATTAAAACCCTCAAACTTTTAGCTTTTAAAACTACTTCAAACTTTCTGGCTAGGCTTTTTCAAGCCAACTTAAAGTTTGTCTATCTAGTTATAGAGCCATGATTATGAGAGTAACCATCATTGTGGTGTGTATGTGTGTGCTTTTTTGATGCTGTAGATATTGACGAGTGTGAACGAAACCTCTCACTGTGTAATGGAGGCACCTGTGAAAATACTGATGGCAGCTATAGGTGTGTGTGTCCACCTGGTCATCAGCTGTCTGTCTGAGGACATGCATATGCTGCTCAATTCTGTTTTTTATTTTTTTAAGAAACTATATGTTTGTTCATTTGAATATAATTCAGCTTACACAGCACATTTCTCAAGTTTATATATAAAACAAATAAGAACAAAAATAAGACAGAAGTATCAAGTCTTTCTGTACTGGCTCTCTCTTCAAATTTACACAGTCATCTGATGATCTGATTTTGGTTTAGTCTGTTGCTGTGGGGCCTTTGTTTGCAGATGTGAATGAGTGTAATCTCAACACCAACATCTGTGTGTTTGGGGAGTGTGAGAACACCAAGGGTTCTTTCATCTGTCATTGTGAGATGGGTTACGTCGTGAAGAAAGGAACCTCTGGCTGCACCGGTGAGTCCTGATCCAGAAAAACACGTCAGAATAATTTACTGTGTGTGATGTGTACCTTATACTTAGTATTATAAATACTACCATACTACACTTACACTGATAAGTTAATACTCCGCAGTTTGCATTAGTTGTTAGTGGTGTTTGTATTGGTATGTAGTGTAATCTCTTATGCTCTGATCCAGATGTTAATGAGTGTGAGATTAACACTCACAACTGTGACACACACGCCACCTGTGTCAACACACCGGCACATTACCGCTGCTCCTGCAGTGACGGATGGTCTGGTGATGGAGTCAGATGTGCTGGTGCGTGTTAGTTATGATTTACCATGTTACTGGGATAGAATGGTGTGTAGTCTGTAATATTTATTTTCCGAATCAGAAATATGCATGGCTTAATTTTAACCTCTTTGTGGTTGTGATTCTTGAAATGCTGTATAAGAAAATCAGTGTTGTATAAAGTGTCATCATAACTAAAATTAAAGACATATCGTTGGAAAATTATTAGAGTTAAAATTAGAGTAGTCCCTGAAATATACTTCCAATAATTAAAAGTTACAAGAAGTTATTTTCTGCATTACACGTTTGCTCTAGTGTGTTACTAATCTAATTTAGATTTTAAACTTGCCGTATTGTTGCTCGTAGTCTTTCTCTTTGGTAATTCACTTTAAATAAAAGCTCCTGCTGAATGAATGTAAAAGTAAGTAAATTAGAAATATTCCAGAAACCTATGGGCAGTAATGAATTGCTGATTTACTACACATGTCTCTGTCATGGAGTCAACAGCAACGCCAGATCCTTCAGCTCCTCCCACTCATTCTTAATCACCCAAATACTGATGCACTCCACCTGTCAACACCAATCAAGCCCGGTAATAAGCCACCATCACATTCCTTCCTCAGTGTCTGGTCTTGTTGTTCACATGCGTGCATCAACCTCCCTGGCACCTTACCTGATCTACTTATCTGTTCATCTTCTGTCGTCTGCTCCGCTCTCTGGGTCCATCACCACCTGCAAAGACACCAGTGTGATTATTCAGCTAAGCCTATGCTCTTAACTCTCCAAAAATATCCATATCTGTGATCATCACTTTCTCATAACTCCGACTGGATTCGTCTGAAAGAAGAAAGTCATGGATGACTTGAGGGTGAGTAATTTATGGGCTAATTTTCATTTTTGGGTGAACTAACCCTTTAAGTCAAGTGAAAATCCTCCAATGGAGTGGTGATTGTCTCCATAAAAGCATGTCTCTTGTTTTCTACAGCTGTTTTCTACAACTCCATCCTCATGACTGTGGAGAGCCCAGAGACCTCGAAGACTCTTGAGATTCCACCTGACTACAGGGCTTTCCAGGATGTCTTCAGCAAGCAGGCAGCAACGGAATTACCACCTCATTGGCCATGGGTCTGTGCAATTGACCTGCTGCATGGGGCCATGCTACCTAAGGGTAGAGTATACCTGCTGTCCATACCGGAACAGAAGACCATGGAGGAGTACATCGAGGAGGCTCTCGGGCAGGAATTCATCCACCCTTCTACTTCACCAGCAACATCCAGCTTCTTTTTTATCAGCAAGAAGGATGGAGGCTTGAGGCCATGCATCGATTACTGTATCCTGAACTCGCAAACTGTCAAATATCACTACCCATTTCCTCTGGTCCCAGCCACCCTGGAACAGCTTTGTGGTGCTTGCATCTTCTCCAAACTGGACCTGCGTAGCACTTACAACCTCATTCAGATCTGTGAGGGTGATGAATGGAAGACCGCCTTCATAACACTATCAGGCCACTATGAATACCAGGTGATGCCATATGGCCTCTCCAACTCACCCTCTGTCTTCAAAGGATTCATGAATGTGGTGTTCCGGGAGTTCCTCCATCAGTTTGTCATCATATTCATTGATGATATCCTCATCTACTCCCAGAACCTGGCCGAACATTGCCACCAGATGAAACAGGTCCTCGAGAAATTGAGAGAAAACCATCTATACCTCAAATTGGAGAAGTGTGAGTTCCAACATGACACCATCCAATTCCTGGGTTACATCATCGACCATCAAGGCATTCACATGGACCAGAGGAAGGTACAAGCTGTCAAGGACTGGCCTCAACCTAACACCATCAAAGAACTCCAAAGATTCCTGTGCTTTACCAATTTCTACAACCGTTTCATCGCCAAATTCTGTCAGATCTGTGCACCTCTCACCTCACTGCTAAAGAATAAGCCCAAGTCTCCGTTCTGGACTCCTGACGCCGTCAATGCATTCCAGAAACTCAAGGATGCCTTTTGCACCACTCCTACCTTGGTTCATTCAGATCCAAAACTCACTTTCCTCGTGGATGCTTTAACAGTAGGGGTAGGATTGGTATTGTCACAAAGTCACGGAGAGCCTCCTACACTCCATCCACTTGCCTTCTACTCTAGAAAGTTATCCCTGAGACTTCCGCTTCCGCCCGCATGGAGTGAACAGCACAGAAGGGAGCTCCTCAAATAAATAACAAATTATTGCTAAATAGACTAATCAACCAAGTAAAGCCTTTACATTTCTGTCAAAGAGTCATAACAACAAACTTTTCGACATGAAACCGAGCTCGTGCAAAAAGTTACATCGACAATCCAACGCAATACAAAAGCAGAAAGCAGTGAGAGAAAGATGGACGAAGACGACGGCGATTCTCCTATTTCGTTGAGTGCACTCAGAGCGGAACTACATATGCATCGTGAGGTAGTGATTAAAGATATTAAATCGCAAATGGAAAGCCTTCATCTGGAGATGCAAAAGAATCGAGAGGAGATGAAAGAGGACCTGCGTGCGCTACGAGAGGACATCTTTCCAGAGCTGGCCACCTTACACAAAGCACAGGCCGAATCAGCGAATGAGTGCACGGAGATGGGGAAAACTCTGAGTGACACGATGGACAGAGTGGCAGTACTTGAACAGTCTCATGAACGCATGGCTAAAGAACACAAGAAATTGCAGGAGAAATGTATGGATTTGGAGAATCGTAGACGGAGACAGAATTTAAGATTCGTCGGGATTCCAGAAGGAGTGGAGGCTGGAAATCCGGTTTGATTCATCAAAGACCTGCTACTGGAGTTATTTGGAGCCTATGACTTGGGGGATTCCAGTATGAAAGTAGATTGTGCGCACAGAACTCTGGCCCCAGGCATTAATTGCTCGCTTCCACTACAATTCGGACAAAGAAAAAATTCTGAAGTTATCCAGAAATAAAGGGTGTCTCTACTACAAAGGTTCCCCTGTGCATATCTTCCCCGATGTGAGTCCAGAGGTTGGCAAACTTCGAGCCGCGTTCAATCCAGTGAAAGCCAAGCTGTGAGCCACCGGGATAAATTACAGTCTGTTCTATCCGGCCAAACTGACAATCACTGTGGACGGAATCAGATACACGTTTGAACACCCTCGAGAGGCTGAGAAATGTCTTTGAAAGAAGTCTCAAACCTAGATGGCCGATCTGTAAGGTTTGAGTATACAATTAAGTGGAGATGAGGTGTTTATTCATTCTCAGCATGTTCGGACAGAATAATTTAAACAGATCAGAGGAGATGAAAGAGGACCTGCGTGCGCTACGAGAGGAAATCTTTCCAGAGCTGGCCGCCTTACACAAAGCACAGGCCGAATCGGCGAATGAGTGCATGGAGATGGGGAAAACCCTGAGTGACACGATGGACAGAGTGGCAGTACTTGAACAGTCTCATGAACGCATGGCTAAAGAACACAAGAAATTGCAGGAGAAATGTATGGATTTGGAGAATCGTAGACGGAGACAGAATTTAAGATTCGTCGGGATTCCAGAAGGAGTGGAGGCTGGAAATCCGGTTTGATTCATCAAAGACCTGCTACTGGAGTTATTTGGAGCCTATGACTTGGGGGATTCCAGTATGAAAGTAGATTGTGCGCACAGAACTCTGGCCCCAGGCATTAATTGCTCGCTTCCACTACAATTCGGACAAAGAAAAAATTCTGAAGTTATCCAGAAATAAAGGGTGTCTCTACTACAAAGGTTCCCCTGTGCATATCTTCCCCGATGTGAGTCCAGAGGTTGGCAAACTTCGAGCCGCGTTCAATCCAGTGAAAGCCAAGCTGTGAGCCACCGGGATAAATTACAGTCTGTTCTATCCGGCCAAACTGACAATCACTGTGGACGGAATCAGATACACGTTTGAACACCCTCGAGAGGCTGAGAAATGTCTTTGAAAGAAGTCTCAAACCTAGATGGCCGATCTGTAAGGTTTGAGTATACAATTAAGTGGAGATGAGGTGTTTATTCATTCTCAGCATGTTCGGACAGAATAATTTAAACAGATCAGTGGATATTAGTAAAGTCTAACGGGACAAAACCGCACCGAACATGTTAAAGTGAAAGAAATACAAGTGTGTAAATAGGTCTATAGAGTACTTTTTTGTAATGTTTTTGGAAAGGAGCTAAGTGATAAGTCAGACAGTTTATTATCCTTTTTGTTAATGTTATGGGTAAAAAGGGTTCTCTAAACTCGCTCTGTTCTTTTTTTGTGTGACTTTCAATCAAAAAAAGGTAAACTGAGTTATTGTGCAAATTGTTCAAGTTTTGTAGTTTTTAAACAAATATTGGCACTTTTTTTTTCTTTTTCTTCCACCCCCCCTCCCCCTCCTTATACTTTGAATGCTGCTTCCCACAATATTTCTCAAAACTCTGATTATGACTAGCAGGAAAGTAAATGCTGTTAAGAAAAATCACGTTCAGTTTATTTCATGGAATTGTAAAGTGCTCAAAGGAGCGATAAAACGGGGAAACATATTAGCACATCTTGGGAGACTGGGAGTTGATATCGCATTTTTACAAGAAACGCATTTAAAGAACCAAGACCAGAGCAGATTAAGAGGAAGATGGGTGGATCAAGTATTTCATTAAACTTTAACTTTAAGTCTAGAGGTACAGCTATTCTCATAAAGAAGGTTATACAATTTACTGCAACAAAAGTTATTTCTGCTTCCAATGGACGTTATGTTATAATAGTGGGGAAACTCTATAACACACCAATATTGTTTGTCAATATATATGCTCCCAATATAGATGATGAACAATTTATATCTTCTGTTTTGAACATCTTGCCTAATCTGGATACTCACCAGTTGATAATGGGGGCTGATTTTAACTTTGTGTTAGACCCAATCTTAGACAGATCTTCAAATAGAACGGTACCCCTACCCAAATCAGCCAAATTGCTACAAAGGTTTATGAAATCCTTTAAAATAATAGATCCATGGAGATTTAACTTTCCAAACCAATGAAAATATTCATTTTTTTTCACCAGTTCATCACACATTCTCTAGGATAGACAATTTTTTAATAGATTGCAAACTTTTGTCAGCAGTCACACATTGTGATTATGAAGCAATGGTGATATCGGACCATAGCCCCTTGGTTCTTCAGGTAGTACTTGAAACCAAATATGATATGATTAAATGGAGATTTGATAATAATTTGTTAGCAGATAAGACATTTGTAGAACAAACCAGGGATCAAATAAGGTTATATGTAGAGACCAATAATACGGTAGATGTTTCTAAATCCACAATTTGGGAAGCATTTACAGCATACATGAGTGGACAAATTATTTCTTATGTCTTAATCAGGAACCAATGTAAAGAACAAAAAAAGAATAACGGACAGAATATTAGAAATAGATCAAGATTATGCGATTTCCCCCTCAACAGAATTGTATAAAGAGAGGCTTTCTCTCCAGTCAGAATTTCAGTTATTATCCACTTCAGAGACTACTGATCGTTTGATACGGGCAAAAGCCAAGTATTATGAGCATGGAGAGAGAGCAGGTAAACTCCTCGCTTGGCAAATTAAAGAGACAGAAGCATCAAGAATGATAATGGAAATTAGAAAAGAGCCAGGACAAATTACACCCAAGCCACAAGAAATAAATAATATTTTTAAAAACTTTTATATTAAATTATACTCTTCAGAATCTGTCAACGATCCATCATGTATAGCCCAGTTTCTTGATTCACATAATATACCCTCCTTAAGCATGGAAGATAGGGAAGTTTTGGAAAGGCTACTAACTATTGATGAAATCTATCAAGCAATATCCAACACGCAATGTTCAAAGTCCCCAGGTCCAGATGGTTTCACAACCAAATTTTATAAATGTTTTAGTGACCAAATTTCACCTTTGAGCATAAGTCTAAGTGGACGTCCATGATATGCGGAGTCCCACAAGGCTCAATTCTTGCACCGCTCTTGTTTAGCTTGTATATGCTCCCACTAAGTCATATAATGAGATAGGCAATTTGGTTCTGTCACAGCTATGCTGATGATACCAAGATTTACCTAGCCTTATCTCCAAATGACTACAGCCCCATTGACTCCCTCTGCCAATGCATTGATGAAATTAACAGTTGGATGTGCGAGAACTTTCTTCAGTTAAACAAGGAAAAAACTGAAGTCATTGCATTTGGAAACAAAGATGAAGTTCTCAAGGTGAATGCATACCTTGACTCTAGGGGTCTAACAACTAAAAATCAAGTCAGGAATCTTGGTGTGATTCTGGAGATAGACCTTAGTTTCAGTAGTCATGTCAAAGCAGTAACTAAATCAGCATACTATCATCTAAAAAACATTGCAAGAATTAGATGTTTTGTCTCCAGTCAAGACTTGGAGAAATTTGTTCATGCCTTTAACGCCAGCAGGGTGGACTATTGTAATGGTCTCCTCACTGGCATTCACAAGAAGACCATTAGACAGCTGCAGCTCATCCAGAACGCTGCTGCCAGGATTCTGACTAGAACCAGAACATCTGAGCATATCACACCAGTCCTCAGGTCCTTACACTGGCTTCCAGTTATATTTAGGAATTATTTTAAAGTACTTTTACTCATTTATAAATCACTCAATGGCCTAGGACCTAAATACATAGCAGATATGACAATTGGGGGATACATAAAGCGAATCTTCTTAAAGAGGCAAACAGACACAAGAAGTGGTTGTAATACCAAGTTCTTAGACATTGTTCAAATAAGTACAAGCTAGAAAGAGAAGGAATAAATAAAGAGAGATACTTTTATTTATTTATTTATTTTTTATTATGATGAAGTCAAGTAGCTTCACATGTGCTACTTGTGAAGTCAAATATAAACCTAACAGAGCACTCACATCATTAGAATCGAGTCAGTTAGAAATACCAAGGGTTCACACAAAACAAGGGGAGTCCGCTTTTAGTTATTATGCCGCCCGCAGTTGGAATCAGCTTCCAGAAGAGATCAGATGTGCTAAAACATTAGTCACATTTAAATGCAGACTCAAAACTCATCTGTTTAGCTGTGCATTTATTGAATGAGCACTGTGCGATGTCCAAACTGATTGCACTATATTTGATGTATAATCGTTTTCTATTCTTAACCGTTTTAAATTCATTTTAAACCTCTTAAATACATTTTTTAATCATTTTCAAAGTTTCTAAATTCCTTGTTTTATTGTTGTGATTATATTTAAATTTTCTTTAATGTAAAGCACTTTGAATTACCATTGTGTATGAAATGTGCTATATAAATAAACTTGCCTTGCCTTTGCTTTTAGAGGTTTTTAATGAATCATTTGAAAGAGGCTGTCTACCACCAACATTTTATCAGGCTAATATTTATTTAATACACAAGGCAGAGAAAGACCCCTTAGAGTCTAGTTCATATAGACCTATCAGTCTTCTTGACGTGGATAACAAGATTTTGGCCAAGGTTTTGGCTACCAGACTTGAGAAAGTTCTCCCCTCTGTGATCTCCACAGATCAAACAGGATTCATCAAGAATCGCCTCTTATTCTTTAATATTAGAAGTTTATTAAGTATTATTTACACATCAAGTCCCAATCTCACTCAGCCCGAGGTACTTATTTCTATGGATGCAGAAAAAGCCTTTGATCGGGTTGAGTGGGATTATCTTTTCACCACTTTGGTGAAATTTGGATTTGGTTCTAATTTTGTC